TAAACAAATCTCCAGGGGGAAATGGTGATCCCACAAACTGGAAACGTTCTTCTCATGATGAAGCAGCATCTTACGCAACGTACCTTTGCTTCTCTCCGTGTTCGTTACTACAGTGGAGAGGCAGCACTTTGCATACTCTAACGACAACGTACAGGGTTTTAATGTCTTTCTTGAGGAGAGGCATTCAGAAGGAAAATATATCGCAACATCCTATCGTTTGTGATGATAGCTAGAGAAATATTGTGTTATGGGGCAGAAGCTGTGATGACATGATCTCTGCAAGTTTCAGATTTCTGGGCAAACGCCCAACAAAGTTGTCCCTATGACTCGCTGGAGATTGACAAATCCTTCGTTCCAGCTCAAAAGAGGAGTCACAGTCTTGAAGGGAGAACTGCCCCCATAGAGATATGGAGCTACTTCCACTCAGAGCTTGGAAGATCAGAACCCAAGGCTCCAGTTTGCTCAATAACATTATTCAAATTCAAATAGATTGTTAAAAATCAATTGATTAATCTGCAGATCACTGTAGAGCTGGACCAGGCAGACAGGGTATGTTTGTGTCGGATTTTGCAGGCAGCAAAATGTCTTTCCACTCAAAACCAGCTGGACTTACGGATTTAGAAGCTGCCTAGCTGCAGCCCGATTGCATCAGAGACATGAGTCAACAACACATCCCTGTTTTTCCCAAGTGTCAGCTATCTTCTGTGAAATCCCATAAAAAGGACCTTTACTGAACCTGGCTTCTATGTTTGGTCCAGAAAACTGAGTGCATCACAGTCAGTGTTCACAAGTACTACTTTAAAATGTTTCAGTGTTGTTTTAATATACAAGTTGGGTTTTCCACATCTATAGTTAAAACAAACATTAACCATAGTTTCTTAGCATGGTTTGAAATCCAATGAAGGCAGCTGTTTTCTTTAAGGCCAACAGAAGTGAGGTTAGATCTCTCAACAGAAAATTTTCAAATTATTCTCCAGAACACATTTATTTTCTATCCTGCAAGTGTCCTTATTTAAATGAAATTCTTCCTCATTAATGTCAGCTATGTCAGCTTGAACAAACAACCTTCAGGCTGTAAATCAAAATATAATTAAAAAGGAATAATATAACAATGGCTATGTTAACCTTGTGATGATCAAGGTGTTCTTATTTACATTCCAGTATTTCCTTAAAATACAAACTATGCCAAATCCCCATTCTTATCTTCATGTTGCCAACTAAGACCAAACTTTGACCTGAAAGTTCCAAGTCACTGGCTATAAAAGCCAATGCTTTGCAAACTGGGTCCTTTGCTACTAAGGACAATTTAAATGATGAACAATTCCCTTCATGTGCATGAAGTGCTTTGAAAAGCTAAAACAAATTCTCTGAGAGAAAACAGGTTGAAAGGGAATATTTTGTTACAAAACACATCTTCTGAGACTAGCATTTAAAGGACACTTTATTTTCTTTCATACTTTATTTTCTTTTGTTTGATATAAAGAAAATTGCAGAAACATACTTTCACATAATTTCAGGGTAAGTAATGGTCTACTAAAATAAATTATAAAAAATCCCCAAACATAATCACAGATCAGTGGTAACCCTCAGTATCTGGCTGATGATATTTAATCTCCCAGCAGAGACAGTTAATTCTCCTAGTTCCAGATTCCTGACATTCTCTGCACGAACTGCTAAACATCACTCGGGGCAGAAGCCACACACTGGTTATATATGGGGGACATCAGAGCCATACAGTGCTTTTTTCTGTATTGAGAAACTTCAGTTATAGACTTTAATTCACATTGTACTACATTAATTCATATTCTACTAATATTCTCTCCTGGAGCATGAAGGTCTACTGCTCCAATTTATGAAATTCTGTGATTCTGTGCTTACACAGAATGAAAGGATAAAGCTGGTAAGTAAATATGTCTGCACAATTTCATGCTTATCATTCACTCGCTGCAGTTTCAGATGTTCCCAATATGTATTGTGTATGCTCATTTTAATAATATAGATAAGTGGGTTTGTGGAGGAGTATCTACTAACACATAGAAACCATACTAGCTCAGGAAATCTCCAAATATGAAGTATTTGGGAGAGTTCAAAGCAAATATTGTATCTGCCTGCTTACATACTTTTGTAGGCAGCTACTTAGGGCCACTGGAGGCAGGATACTGGGTCCAACACACTTTTGATGTGATTCCCAATATTCCTTGTACTTTATATTCTTAACATTTTCAGCTCAGTTAAAAAAAAAATCCCTTCCAATTTCAAGCTTTCTCACAAGCAGAAATTAATTTTATTTCTATATATTATTTCTATATAGCTCTATATATTATTTCTATATAGCTCTATGCATTATTTCTATACAGCTTAGAGCAGGTGAGCTCTTCTCAAATTTAAATTTCTAACCCAAATAACTAAACAGTAATCTGTTAAACAACGAAGCCTTTGTATGTTGTCATCCAAAATCACTCACATTATCATCCACAAAAAGCTGTACAATCTCTGTTCAATACAAAAGATCAAGCAAGGCATTTATTTAATTTAACTACTATTAAAGCACCAAAGGGTATACTTGTTGCTCCCAACTCTCTAGTAATATAGAAAAAAATGATCCATTTTAAAAACAGGTTGAAAAGGAGGAACATCAGAGATACTGTAAGATTTCAAAAAGGCCACTTAAATATATGTATTTTCAATATTGCAACATACGTAATATTAAAATAAACCTGGCTGAAAAGCAGTTTCAAAAATGATGTTAAGATTAATACTTTGTCAGTAGGATCCTGCTCAGTGATATTTACCATGAACAGAAAGTAGCAGTTTTAAAAACATACTATTCAGCAAAAAAATAATAATCCAGAAAACAGAGGAGATATAAATTTACCTCAGGATCTGGTTTTCTCCTTTGCCTGTCTGAGCATTTGCTTTTCGCCTTTCAACAATTTTACGTGTAGCTGAGGTCTGCAAGAGCCAAAATTTTTACAAAACAAGTTAAACCCTAACCACAATCATAGTTAAGGAAATAAAATGTTTCCAAACTGATTTTGACCCACTGCATCCTTATTGACATAAAGTATTTTAAGCACATATTATACTGATGCCTTGTTGATTTGGGGAATTGAACACATGTTCAATTGTCTTGCTGTGCAAAAATAATATAATTATTAAGGTGGATGATCAGAGAATACCTTTCAACCAGCATATTTTTGGTCATACTACCCTTAACTCCGTATTTTCAGTGAAGAAGCATTATATTTCTAACATGCTCACCAGAAGGAGAAACAAAACAAATTATAGTCATTTAGTTAATACTTCTGAATGATTGAAACACTAATTAAGAACAGGAACTACTTGAAAAAATAGCACAGCATGGAAATCTCTGCCTACGCTGGAAGGCTACATTACTGGACATACTGAAGAACACCAGAGCCATCACCCTTGCTGTTGCATTTAGCAGGATTCAATCAGTCATTTCTCCTGCTCCTTAGCAAACTGAGGTCCTTCCTCCCCCAGCACTTGCTGGCTCATCCAGCTGCCTTTACTGGAACTGCCTCCCCTGTGCCTACACCTGTGCCATGGACAGAAAACCAGAGAACACAGAAGGCTGAGGGCCTGTCTGCCAGCTGTGCACACTTGGGTGTTTAGTCTTAAGTGGATGGAATTTTCTCAACCCCTTTAAACAGATCCATCAGAAATATGTAATAAATACACGATAATCATGACATATGAAGTAACAGCTACATCAGACCAGCGAAGACTATTTCAAAGCCTAGAGCTAGATTTTGGGGCTATGTAAACAAGACTCAGGGTATGGATTATTAGATTAATTACATTACATTACACTACATTGCACTATATTACATTACATACAAAATGTAACATTACATGTTATAGCATGTGTGGAAACATCATGCACTTGCAAGAACAAATCCTGGCACTGAAAAGCATTTCCTACTGTTTACAAGACAAAGGTTTCTGCCACGCTTCCATATCAACAACGCACTAGGCAAGTATTCCTGACCCAGCGACAGCAAAGCCAGGTTTAACCAAAGCAGACCTTTTTCAGTGTGCAATCTGAATGGAATAGGATCTGCACAGATTTACTTTCTTGAAGGCAAGCAATTTTTTGTACTCAAGTACAAAAAGCACTAAAGATGACGGCTGGTATCATTTATCTTTCTGAGCAGATATGATTCTGTGACACATGAGGCAAAACCTATGCTAAGATTGCCTTCACTGTTCTTTTATTTTATTTCTATGAATATAGGGTGGCAGTATATATGATTATTATACCTAACACTGTTTTTGGTGGTACAGTTTACTCCTGGCCCATTTCAATTAAAATAAGATGTTACTGTACAAGCAGCATTCCAGCTGTACCTATCTATAGTTGTGGAATTTTTCTGCGGGGAAATCCCAATCACAAGTCTGACTCAAGTATTCTGGTAAAAGTTTGTAGTAAAAATCTGGCCTGAAAGAATGGCCTTTTTAAAATTCTTTGCCTGCTTCCCAAGCTGATTTCTGAATACTGCCAGAAAGTGCTTTGAGATATGTGGAGTCAAAATCCCAAACCAACATTTTTTTCAGATTAAAAACAAAGCAAAAAAAAAAGCAAACGAGAATACACCATAAACCAGTGGTGCCTCTAGCATGAGGATTCAAGTTTGTGAAATCTTTCATTTATTTTGAAACTATCATTTTAAATTGATGATATCCTTGTGGATCCAGACAAGACAAACAATGGAAACACTCAGAAGATACATACACTTGTAAAAAAGCAGAAAAGCACTCAATAATAAAAAAGCTAAATAGAAGAAATGGCTGCTCAGAAGCATCTCTCATCTGCTTATGCCACAGACTTTCAAAACTCAAAAACATCTGGGATTTTTTAACATCTCCCAGTAAAAATTTCTATTCTGTGATTATTTTTTCACTGTGAACTATAAAAATGAGGGAAAAAGGCCTTCAAAGACATTATATCCATTCTCTGTAACTGAGTTTCAGTGGAATGCATTGGCACAGTGTAACAGTATCCCTTAGCATATTTACTGTGGAATGTAGGGAGAAGGCGAGCCTATGGGTACATCTTTTAACTCAACTGCTGCCAATATTGCTGTGCAGATGCTAGAACAGTGACATTTTAATGCAGCTGAAAGAATCTGGGCTGAATGTAAGTCTATCTCTGCCTCTACTGTTCAAACAAATTGTTAAAAGGGAGAGGATGCACATGCAGATTTTAAACCAAAAACAAAATAAAGCAAGAATCCAATTGGAGCCATAAAAGAACAGGACCTGAAGGGAACAGACGAGCCACTGATTCTTTCGCAACCAGGAGTCAACCGTGATTAGGGTGACTGCCATGTTCAGCCTAGCAATGGATATGGTAGATGTCTAACCTAAACTACTCACCTAGGCTCTGCTTACAGCTCAGGAAGAGGGACAGATAAATCCCTGGGAAATTCATTTCATCTTGATCTAAACCAGGTGGGATGGTTTGTGCCTCAAACACACTGCTTTCTCCATAGATTACAGAGGATCCCTCTACAACTACTTCAGATTGGCAGTTTAACGTTCTTCACAGAACTAAAGACAGGGAGATTAATCTGAAGATGATTATTTTGCTCTCATGCAATTCCAAAATCATGGGGGCAAATAACTGATTACTGAAAATACAATGCGCTACCTACCTTGAGTGTCAGTGGCAAAATCCTAGTCCCTAATGCCCCATTTAAGCAATGTATCAGTGCATATACCTCACTGCTAGTTTTATGCACGTGTAAGCATTTTTCTATGCAGCTGAACATAGGCACGCCTCTTGCTAGAATGTTCAGCAATATAATCATCTTTTATTTCCTACTTTCTTCCTTCAGCAGTTCCCAGTTTCACCGTTAATACAAAGATATTAACAGTTATCATAGGCATTTCCAGGGCTTTTTCTTGGTTTCATAATGGAAAAGTTAGTTTAAGCTATTCTTTCAGATTTCCCAAAGCAGCAATGAACCACGTAAGAGAATCAGTTGCCCGCTGTGCAAACACATGGAAACACTGCAAATTACAGCCTTTTACCTCAGTTAGCTACAACAGAGATTCAGTGACAGTCATTCTTGAGTATTATATCAAGCTTTTACTTTTACATTATTCAGAAATTAAGAGCTCTTTCAGAATAAGAAGTACTAGAAATCTTTACAGGTTCATTTACAGGCTCCTCCGGTCCGTAAGTAACAACTTTTACTTATTACAGAATTTGCAGCAATAAAACTTAACGTCTGATTGCACTAAGACGATGTCTTATCCCTCATCTTATATATTTAATATAAATATGTGCTGTATTCTCATTCTAAATGGGATGGATAGTTTTCTTTGAAAGAAGAAAGGAGAAAAATGAAAAAGGAGACTTGCTCCCCAAAGTGGGCATCACTACATTAAACTAGCATAGCAGTCTTGCGACTAAAGGATGGGCAAGCAAGGATCAGAAAAATGTTTTAGCTTTCTCAGTCAAGGGTATTTGAACTAAAAAAGTGGGAAAAAAAAGTATTTAAAAATAATCAAACACCAATCTTTTGATATCTACCTCTTTTTTTTTAAAAAAAAAAAAAGTCTAAATATAAACAATCTGTAACCTTTTAATTTTTAGCTCCTAAAATTTTTTAAAAGCAGCTTTCAGAATGCGTTTGGGAGATGAAGTGGTGAAAGACTTTAACATAATGCCATTAGCAGATGTGGTTGCTATATCAAGAAAGTATAATGACTTTTGAAAGCTATTGAATTGTATGTTTTTCTTACCTGTAAGATCTCTGAGAGGTACATGCGCCGCTTGTCATTAGCTTTGTGATATGCCTACAGTTAAAATAAGGGACACAGACTAAATATTTTAAAAGCTGAATCATGCAAAACCAAATATACAGCAGAGCTTTTTTCCAATGATGTATTTTGTAGAATTGTTCTATCATGTTCCACATACACTGTCTGTCTGCAGACAACATAATGGCTTTTTATAGAGGCGTAGAGCGATTGCAAACCTTTGCTTCTTGTTCCAGTCTAAGTTCATAGTCTTTTAGCTGATTCTGGAGACTTTTCTTCTCTTCTTCTAGTTGTTTAAGAACCTCCTTTAAGGAACTCTGTGGTTATAGTAAATAAAACAACGTTTTAGAAATATTTCCATTCTGTATAAAGTATCATCACCATAGTCTTTACTCTTCAAGCATTATGTTGTTTGCCATTCTGTTTGCTTCTTCCGCACTTATCATTTACGTGGTTCTGGCTGGCACGCTGCAGAGGCAAAAGCAATTAAGCGTATGCCACAGTTACCAGCTATGCACTGCACATTTCCACTCTGTTAAAATGACACAGATAGTTTTCCACACTGCTGCTCCTTGATAGATTAGCAAAGTCACCTTGTGGTGATCAGCCAGAATTGCTCCCGACTTCTAAGCAAAGTTGAGCTGAGATCATCTCTGCCTCATCATTATCACTAGCACTTGATTTTTAGTCTTTGTTTACAAGTATCACATCTGATACAATTTCTGGAACTAATCTGATAATAGTATATCCAAATTAATCCATCCAAATTTTATATTTATATCTATATTTGACTGTATGGATAGGAGTCAGCCTGAGGTGAGGACTTTTATATTTGAGTGTGTCCACATGTGAACTAAGCTCCTGCTAAGAGTCACGGTCAATACAGTCAATGATGTGCAGCGATTCATTCAGCTGAGCAGCTAACGAGGTCAACTCAGTTGCCATCTGAGATGCCCTAGAGCATCCAAGACATTTATAGGTGGCAGATATGACACCTGGGTTACAGGAGACACATGTCCGTCTGGAGCAGCAGTGAAACATCTGCAAGTCTCTTTGTTTACGCAGCTATTCCACTGAAGATGCCTACTTAGATAAATTGAGATACAACTCTCTGTACTCAGCTGACTATCTGAGACCTGCCCTGCCAAGAGGCAGACATCACATATAAAAAAAAGCAAGCATTGGTGTTCTAATATGAGTCATATTGTTTTGATACAAATATCAATATTATTTCCCAATATTATTGTGATTAAAATCTGTTTTCCTATCCATCCTCAAGATGAATTAATCCAGACTGATGAAAAACAACAAACAACATCAATAAAGAAGTCTCTCACATACCACATCTATCTCTGTTTCGATCCTTCCTGCCAAATGCATACCTTTAATATTTGCTAGGCCTTCGTGTTTTCATTACCAATGTCATGACATTTCAGACTAGTCAGGTTCTTCACTTGCCTGCTTAAGCTGCCTGTGTAAAATAAGTATCTGTTTCAGAAGTTTTGCATCTTTTTACTTCTAAATCATGCCTCTCCCTAGTCAGAATAGCTGAATCCTTTCAGTTTTTGTACTGACTGTCTGACCGCTGCCTTAATTAGTTATTTTTTCTCACAAATTTACTGCTTTGCTATGCCTTCATTTACCAGATTTTCCTGGTAAACACGGAAAGGCAGATAGTATGACTCTCTCTAAATACTCTCTCCTTTTCTTTGTGGAAATTTTTCCCTATTTATCACACAAACTTCGGATCCAGAAGGCCAGTTTCCTTGTGTGGTCCATTTCTCACAGAGTTTATGAACGCTTACTTATGGTAAAAAAAATCCCAACCCCAATTTAAGCCTTAAGGGATCAGTCCTGGGTTTGGTCCTATTTAATATCTTTATTAATAATCCAGATAACTGTGCAGCGTGTCCCCCAAGGAAGGTTACAGATGACACCAAACTGGGAGGAGTGGTCGATATGCCAGAGTGTCATGCTGCCATCCAGAGGGACTTTGACAGGCTGGAGAAATGAGCTGACAGGAATCTCATGAAGCTCAACAAGGAGAAGTGCAAAGTCTTGCAGCTGGGGAGGAACAATCCCACGAATTGACATGCTGTGAAGGCTGCCCAGCCGGAAAGCAGCACGATAGAAAGAGACCTGGGGGTCCTGGTGGGCAAGCTGAATATGAACCAGCAATGTTCCCTTATTTCAAAGAAGACCAAGGCTATTCTGGGCTGCACTAGGCAAAGCATTGCCAGCAGGCTGAGGGAGGTGATCTTTCTCCTCTAATCAGCACCGGTGAGGCCACATCTGGAGTGCTGTGTCCAGTTCTGGGCTTCCCAGTACAAAGAGGCATGGATATACTGGAGAGAGTCCAGTGAAGGGCCACAAGGATGATTAAGAGACTGGATCACCTCTGCAGTGAGGAGAGACTGAAAGAGCTGGGAGTGTTCAGCCTAGAGAAGAGAATGCCAATGGGGGACATTATTAATGTATATTATTACACGACAGAAGGATGTCAAAAGGAGGAAGCCAGGCTGTTTTCAGTGGCACCCAGTGACAGGACACAAGGCAAGTGGGCACAAGCTGAAACACAGGAGGTTCCCTCTGAACATGAGGCAACACTTCTTTACTGTGAGAGTGACCGACCACTGGAATAGGTTGCCCAGGAAGGTTGTGGAGTCTCCCTCCCTAGAGATATTTTTAAAATGTTTGGACATGATCCTGAGCAACCAAGTTTAGGTAGTCCTGCTTGAGCAGAGGCTTGGACAAGAAACCCTCCAGGGGTCCGAACAATTCTGTGATTCTGAAATCTTCATTTTGCTGTTACAGCTGTGCCTTCTGTCTCTTTGACAGTACCTTTGTCAACCCAGTTCAGCTTCCATGTTTTGGGCATCCATCCACTCTAGAAAAGTCTTCTTTGGTCTGTTCCAGAGTGAAAATGCCATTTGCCATTAGACAAAAGACTATCATCCTTATAAAAGCATTTTCATCTCAGGTCCGTAACTTGTATGTTTGACTTTGGACATCATCAAGCTGTTCTGTTTTCTGGATGTGTGAAGTGATGGTCCTACCGATGGTTTCTAAAAGACATCCACCAAACATGTACATCGGCCTCTTACATCTGCCTGTTTTAAATCTCCAGTTTTCTTTCTAGCATCTGCAGATCATTGTGTCTTTTATCCTTTTTCATAATTTTCTGTACAACACATGACTTACCCGGCTCCAATTTCTTTTTCACAAAAACATTTTTGGCTGTTACCGAGATTTCCCTAGGAATGTTTTCCATTAAAGTCAAGATTTTGCAGGATTATGGCAAAAGGCACCGTACTTTTAAAACATGTTGCCAAGACAGAATAAATCCTCCCACTGTTCAAAAAGAAAGAAAGAGATACAGAAGAGCTATATCTTTCAAGAATGCTTTTGCACATGACTGGAAATACGTAAAGAACTGGGATTTTGTTGTGGACTTTTTCCTAGTTAAAGCAGAAGTACCTTGCATGCAGATGAAATCTTTGTCCTAATACAGAAGGCTCTTACAGTCAACACAGTCAATGTCGGCCAATTCAAAGAGAAAAAGTTAGTTGCAGATTAAAGAGAAGATTTGGCCAAATTCCACTATGGTTGTGCGCTATTTCAACATCAGTGTCTGCACAGTATTAAATGAGACAGATAGAGAAGGCCTCAGCACTGTCAAGCTAGGAAACTTTTTTTTGCCCTTTTGACCTGACTGCACATTCAAGATTATAACCATGTGACAGCATATTTTGTAAAACATGTTTTGTATCGCCTACAACATATTTTGTACCACAAGAGTATGCTTAAATACAGTAAAGAGAGAAGTTTACGGTACTCTCCAGATTTTCCTATGTAAATCAAATTTATCTCCTCAGTGATGGTATTCATCTACTTTCTTTTAAGTTCTTTCACCTACAAAGTAAACTACTTTAGAATTTTTTTTTCTTTTAATCTTTTTCAGAAGCGCTGTCTGGGTTTTGCTGCCAATGCAGCTGGTCCAGTGCAGAAGCCTGGGCATCCATTCAGCTCTGAAGCAAGGGTGATATCCGACCACAAGCAAACAAATGGTACACTACATTGCTTCCAATGAGCAAGCAGGTGGAAATAGGCTGATAATGTGACTAAACTATAGAGTTACCACCCCTGAAGTATCTGGGCACTGCATAATTTGTAATGTACCGGTGCTTACTATTCTATGAAACAGAAAAGGTATAAATAAATGACTCCACATTCACGGATTGAGAATTAAAGTCAAAAATCAAAAAGGGACTACAGTCTACATTGCACTTCTGGCAGAATTTAAGAACTCCATGCTAATAAAGCAATCTATGCAATGCCTGACATTCTTCATGTCCGGTTTTGTCATGTAACAATCAAGCTGCTTAGTTTGCTGTTGAAAGCCTTTACGGAGTCTCAAAGCAAAGCTTCTCCCTAATGGGGCACAACCTGAGAATCATGCTCCACCCCTATTACATGAGGAAGGAATCTTTTAACAGCCTTAAAATTAACCCACAGAGAAATGAGATGAGTTACATTTTAATCCTCTGCCACGCTAAGAGCTTGAATTCATAGCATTTCATATCCTGAGAAGTGCCCCTGCCATCATACTTAACTGGTACTGATATAATTTTTGAAGTCAGGCCGCCAATCAGTCAGAAATGCTAAATTTACATGGATGGAGAAGGAACAAGTGAGAAAGGCTACAAGGTCCTGCCTACTTCTGGAAAGGTGACAAGATTCCAGACACAATTCTTGGGCACTTCTTACTAACTTCACATTGTTTTTCCATCTCTATTACGCACTTTGTTGCAAATCCCAGTCCAGCTGCCTTTCTCCCAGTCAATACCTAGAAAACTCAGGCAGCTCACTCAGCCTTCTGACTGCGGTTTCTGAGTCCATGCACTTAACTGATGATGCAGAGCTCAGTATGGCAATACTGAAGTTCTTATGGGAATGTAGGGACACAGATGTTCCTACCCAACTGAAAGATCTCTCCAAGTCCCTGAACACTACAAAATGCTATTTCCAAAATGAAGTTTTAAATGGTAAAACTTCAAAGAGGTTCTAGACACCCACTTTAGCCAGGACTGGTTGTAAGCTACCTCCAACTCTTACTTTCAAGGAAAGAATCAAAGAGATCTTATGTATTCAAAGTCTTCAGGTGCTGCAAAACAAGACAAATCAAGAAGCAAGAAAGGCCAGCGTACAAACGCAGCCAACTCATCAAGGGCTGGATTTGCCTTTCCTGAATATTGTGGGAAGTGAGTAGAAAGAACTTTCGCTGAAGGAGATTCAGTTCTCGCTGCTCATGGTTGTA